GGGGGTATTTTCAAAACCTAGTTGTGTAATGTTTTTTTTTCTAACAAAAAAAACAAAAAAAGCTTTGCACAACAAACACACAGCCACATAAGGTTTTCTTTGTACACCTTGCTGTATCAAATGTGAAATAAAATGTTGCTTCTTCTTCATCTTGGAGCTGACTACACAAGTTAATTCTTGCTCATCTAATCTTCCACACACACATGGCTATTCCCGCTCTCCCTTAGTCCTCCTCTCTATTTGAGAAGTGTAACATCAGCCATATGGGGAATGAGACACAATGTGAGCCCCTGATCCAACTCTTCTGTTGCTTGACTGAACACATTCTGCATCCTCTGCTTTTCTTAAAGCTCAGATGTGTTATGGAAATTTGTCATCTTTCATGTTCCGACAGCATACAGTTGCAGTTTTTAGTCAGCATTGCAGGTACAGTAAGTGACTTTGTATAAAAAGCATACAGTGCAAGCATTAGAAGTAAATTAACAATACAACAGTTTATGACACACAATTGAAAAAGTTTACTGCATAGGAATTTCTGAATGTACAGCAGAAGCCTGTTGAAGCTTGAATTGACCAATGCTCAATCAGGTGCCGCTTGATTAGATGACTGACAAAATATAAGATCAGGCTTTTCTTATTGTTCATCACAGTCATCATGTGAGGAACGCAGTGATTTCTTCAGATCAGTTCCACTACTTTGAAATGTTTGTCTACCCTAAAGTTTGAGATCATGGCTTTAAATAGCTCAATGGCCCTCTATGTAATAGTGTTAACACCTAAACAGGATTATTCTGATTTTAAGCAAATTTAGAAAAATACTAAAAAAAAAAATATTTGGTGCCAAGTGGCCCTGAGGGGGGCCCACTTGGGAGGTAAGCATCCGGTTAGATGTCAGGAAAAGAAAGCTAGCTTAGCTAAGGCCTTTTGCAACATGGAGAGTGAGCAGATAGTAGTTTTGAACAAATCGATCTTTTGAGATGGTGGGAGGTTTTGTGGAGCCCAGTTGGTTGTTGGCTTATCAGTTTTAGCGACTTCTTCCAAGGCACTGACTCAGTGATGCCTGAATATTGTGGACAAGATGACTCGCTATGGAGGCGTGTGTCTGAGTGAGGTACTTTTATACCAAAACGGTAAGGAATACCTGTACCTATGGCGTTAACGTGTCCCAGCATGTACTGTTTGAACCAATGGAAAAGGTCAACTGTAATGGCTACTGTTCAACCTTTTACACTATTAATTCCACCATACACAAATATCACACTAGTCTATGCAATTTTGCCATAGGTTTTCGTAAACTGTAAGGAAATTTGCAAAAGTTCAGCAAATATTTATACTGAAATTTTTTTATGTTCTTTTTTATTATTAAAATTATAAAGGATCAAATGTTTCGGTAGCTTTTTGAAAATAAATCTCACTGACATCTGGTTAAATAATGGACTGAAGCAAGATTTAGTTTCAGGACCTTGGACAGCTTCTGGTTGTTATACCTGCTTTTCATTTTGCCGAAGAGGTCGTTTTGAGACATTGGAGAGCCACTTTATATTGTACCATTGCTCTTTAAGTATTTTCTGACCCAGTTAAACTAAAAATGAACCACCAAGATGCATATATTTGTATTTTCTTTTTTTTTCCTTTGAAGCAAAATATCTGGTGATAAATTCTTAAAATCACTCTACAAGTCATAATGATGAAGGGGGTTTAATTCTACTGTACATGGTGCTGTGATTTGGTCTAGCTTTGTTTTTTACTACAGTACATGGCTGTTTACCATTCCATCAAAATAAAATATAAATTAGGTTAGAATTATGGCTTCTCTAAAGTCTTCTTAGATGTGAGTGTGTGTGTGAATGGTTGTTTGTCCTGTTTGTCTCTTGTGTTGCCCTGCGATGGACTGACGACCTGTCCAGGGTGTACCCAGCCTCTCGTCCGTAGACAGCTGGAGGTAGGCAACAGCACACCTCGCGACCCCACTCGGGATAGAGTGTGTCATATAATGGATGGATGGAAGGTTAGAATTATGTAACAACTAGACAAAGCAAAAGTGCAACCATGCAGATGTGGAGATAAAACTCACCTTTATACATCTGCTGCTCATTCTGCATGCCTGCTGACAAGGCAGTCAACTGTGTGTTGTGTGGTCTGACATTATTGTCCAAAACCTACTTTCTCTCATGTTTCTGGTACCCATGCAGTTGTTAGAATGACAGGATCAGATGATTGAGGAAAACTGTAATATATATGTATATTCAGAATTTCCCCACTTTCCTTGATGGGCCCTTTGCTAGTCCATGGCTGTTCCCCTACAATTCCTTTTTAATCATCAATCTTTTAACTAAAATGTGTTTTGTGTCATGATTTGTGGACATTAAGATCTAAAGAGAAGTACCATCCCATGTAATTCAGTGAAAAGATGGATTCAGAGTAAAAAAATATGCATGGCCAGGAGAAGGAGGAGGTAATTCCAGTGGCTGGAAGTAGGAGGGGATTCTGTTTGGTAGTGGCATGGAAGCGGGTTGTCAGTCGGCTGGCATTTGACTAGGAAGGGCCATATATATATATATATATATATATATATATATATATATATATATATATATATATATATATATATATATATATATATATATATATATATATATGTGTGTGGAAATTGTTTCCTAAAGTATTTTCAGTTTACTTTCAATCCCTGTAGTCTTCGGGATTATTATTAAATTATGATTAAATATTCGTAGAAATTTCACATTGCCTAATGTCAACAGGGCTATCATCCTCAGACATGTGAGGCACGCATTTCATTCAGTGCTCCTTTAAAGGTAGAATGAGAAAATAAAATAGAAATGATGTAATAATTTTCTAAAGGAAAGGTTTATGTTTACAGATTTAAGCTTTCCCAGATTCTTTCCTGAGGAGAGATCACTTCAAACTTAAACTTTAAATAACAGTTTATAAGGTTTATGTATTAAATTACTATAGGACATGACAAAATAGATTGACAAAAGTTGTAATTCCACTCAGTGCAGAGAAATGGTTTGAGTAACAGATGGCAGCACTTTCAACCAGGCTTGCTTCCTCAGAAAGACGGCCCAGAATACCAGTTAAAAAAGCATTTTATAATCCACACTGTCTTTATACTCCCATTTCATTTCCAAATCTTGTCCTAATTAGATAAATTGCTTGGGAAAACATCCACCTAAAAAAGTAACAGGCAGGTATTATTAAGGTATTATTTGGGTTTAGCAAGCACATACATGAAGCTTAAAATTAATCTTAAGAATTTTAAACAAAGATTAAATTAAGGTGATAAGGCCAGCTGCTTGTGTACCTAGGACAGAAATTCTGGTCCTCTGTCTCCTTATCAATTTCAAAGTGGTCCTAGTTATTATATGATTATATGAACACTACCTATTAGTGTTTGAAACTCACTCTGCAGACAATTCAACTAAATCATGCAGATAGGAGTAGCACTTTTTATTTATTCATTGTTGCTGTGTCCTTTTGCGAGTGTCCATGTGATGGGAGAGGAGGAGGTGAGTGCGTCAAAGGAAAGATGTTCCTATTGTATTTGGCAGAATGTTACAGTGGGGCTGTGTGTGTTAGCCGGTATGAAATCAACTAGAGTTTGATTACTCCCCTACACTTTGCTAATACACAGTGAGACACTCGAAACTGAACTTGCAGCCTCTGAGCACCGTGACGTATAATGGATTAGACCAAGGTCGTCTAAGCATGTTCATTTGTGGGATTAAATAGCAACTTCAATAAGTACGTAATGATGTGTCACAGAACTTTTCATTGGTTCTTTCCCAGATTTTAACAGTAAATGTGCACTGAAAGTGGAGGCACGAGTTTGGTCTCGGATAGAGGGAGTTTAATTCCGCTCTGTAATTTTCAGTCTGAAAACCTTGTAGGTGAGCAAGGCGTAGGTGTGCCAGTGACAAAGAACTTGCTTTTCAGTTGACAGTCCCACAATGTCTGTCACCCGATGTTTCCCACCAGTCACATTCATATTATTCAAATCTTTGTAAATGTCAACAAAGCAAGCCTCTAAAGTGCTTTTATTTCATTTTAAAGCCTCGACCAGATTTGTGACTGTTACACAATAACTTTATATTCAATGCCCAACCCGGGGGGACAAACATGTTAGTTAATTGAATAACTTTTTGACTGTCATATGTTGTTATTCCAACAGATGCCCAACTGGCTGTGTGTAGGACAACAAAAGGAAGTGTGAATCCAGCTTAAATCATGGTCAAACAATTAACACTGCACACATATGGAATACAATTACTTACACAATTACTTCCTTTAAGAATATAAAAATGTATTTTACTTAAAAACTCTAAGACTAACTCAATTAAATCGAGGTAGTATGTATACAAAGAAGAAGAAATGAAAACAGTTAAAAATCATAATCAATAAAATGATGCAACGATATCAAGGTCTGGCATTGCTTTTGCGTTTAAGAACCACAGTTTATTTTAAAAAGTTTGGAGGTCCAGTTAGCCTTTAATTTGATTAAAGCGACTTTTATTAAATGATTTGCTTAATCATAAATCAATAATCCTTAGATAATTGATTTTTGAACTTCTGTGATTGTTCTTGAGGGATTAGTTAAAGGGTAAGGTCCACTTAGCTTCTATAAGCTTAGCTCTTGAAATAAATGAGCTAGGAGTGAGCAGACATAAAGGGATTCATCTTGAAGTACTCTGGTCATATTTTGGCAGTCAACTGTAATGACTGTATCAGGAAACACATACCTTTCATTATACCAGTGTTTAAGCCTTTATTGAAATAAAGGTTTGAACACTGATAAACCTTAGAAAATCTTCATGGTGACACAGCGGTGCTCTTAAAAAGGTTATTGAAAGTTTAATATAATGATGAACTTAATTGGAGTTTAATGCAAAAAGTCTGGTAGCAGGCTTTATGTAGAAGATGATGGCTGAACCAGCTGGCGATAGTCTGAAGAGGCTGGTAGTTGGCTTGAGAAATCATGAAGGATGATGGCAGGTTTTGAGCAAGATGATTGCCGGAAAGACTGGTGCCAGGAAGAGATAGTCCAGGGCAAGTATCCAGTGAGGGCAGGTTGTGGACAAAGGCAATGGAGGGAATAACCAGTGAGAGCAGGGCAGGCACAGGAATATAGTAAGGCAGGCGATGCACGCTATCAATCGAACTAAGGTTATGTAGGTAAATAGACAATTAGGCAGAGACTAACAGAGAGAGGCAGGTTTTAATAGGTATCACCACAGCTGGGGGCAATGAGGGGGATTAGTAGAAAAGCAGGTGAATCTGCTCACTCCAATTAACAAAGCATACCAATACAGCAGATCAGAGAAATGCAAGCAGCCAGCCAACCTATAAAACAATCATATACAGGTACACTCCATGAGAGTTTGTACAGATTTCACAAATGATAAAATTTAAAACAAGTGGGAGCAGATGGTGTGTTAAGGAAATATAAGAAAACTCATGAACAGTTGTTTTAATAATCTGCTGATGAACAGTCTGTCATGGTGTAGATCTGTGATTTCCTCTCATATCTACCCACAGTTTTCAAATAATTTCACAAAGGAATTTTTATCACAGTTCGGCTGCTGGCTCATTTTTAATGGAGATTTATACAAAGGGTTTAATAATGCTTTATATTATTAATAGGGATGCACAATATAATCGGCCCCCTATCGGTATCGTACTGTATCGGCCTTAAAACTGAATATCGGACATCGGCCACCCCACCGATATTTAACCCGATATTTGATCAGCTTTTGAGTTTCTAAAGTCTAAAAAAAAAAAAAAAATACTACTTCTACTTCTTCCTCAAAAAACTTCTTTTTTACAGACTTAAAAACTTCTAAAGACGAGGGAAAATTATTGATACATTAAAATAACGCAATATCTTCATATGCTAATATATTGTCATTCAAAAACACCATATCAATCTCTTTGACTAATGAAATATTGCTATATGTCATCGTTATGCTACGAAATCCCCCGAAAATTCAGGAAATTTTGCCATATTTTTATATGTCGATATATTGACGCGGTATCGATCTATTTTACTAACAAAATCTCACAAGATTTTGCAAAATATCATGAGATTTTGTAACAGAACGATGAAATTTCACAAGATTTTGAAAGTAAAATAGATCGATACCGCGTTTTTAAAAATCCATTTGATATCAGCATATGAAAACATATTTGAGTATATTATTTTTCAAAGTGTCAGAAATGGATAACAAAACTGCTATTTTCAATGACTACTTATTTTTGTCCAGCTTTAACATCAGTATCGATATCGGTTATCGGCTACATGAGTTTTAAAATATCGGCATATCGGATATCGGCCAAAATCCCAATATCATGCATCCCTAAATATTAATAAGGATTTGCCATCCTGATGGTTTGAATTCTGACATATAAATGAAAAATCCTACAGCTGAAGGTTTATAATATATGTGCAATTGTTCAGAATTAACTAAGGAGAACAAAAAGCAAGGATAAAAAAATTGTGTTCATTTTGGGGTTAAGGTTCTATATTACACTTAACATTAGGGTTGGTTGGTGTGTGTGTGTGAGGGGGGATATTTTCAGTATCTTTGGTCATCAGCAGAATTGAAGCATAGACACTTTAATTAACTGATCCAACAGGAAATCTGCAGTATTCATCAAACAAGTTTATACTGTATGCTACAAGGCATGGTAGCCCAAAATTATATTGGTACTTTAGACAGCACTATGTTTCTGGAGAAAGGATTTCAAGAAAACCAAGACGTGATAGAACTTGAAAGCAAAGAGAAAAGCAGTCAAAGCATGGAAATTGACAGATGCTGCTTGTTTTGTAGTAGCTACAGTTTCACAGCTTGTTTTTTTTCCATGTCTTGTTACACAAACAAGCATGATTAGGTTGCTATCTCGGGGAAATTGGATAATAGTCTGGCTCATGGTTCGCTGCAGACAGGAAATAAGTCCTGTGATTGCACTGACATGCTCTTGGGCTACCGCTCTTCCTCAGTGCAGCAACAGCTCTATATATGCTCTATATATCTGTCAAAGTGGAACATGCAGAGACCAACTAAATTTCATTGCACTGGTCTATAGAAGTTAAGAGTTAGCACCACTGTTTTTTTCCTGTTTGACTCTAATACTTTGTGTTTTGTTCAGGTTCATCTTGGTGTTCAGCTGCCTGGTCCTTTCTGTCTTCACAACCATCCCCAATCATAAGGACTTCTCCTCAAGCTGCCTGCTAATTCTGGTAGGAATCTTTGAAGCTAAAGAATTCTGTTTAATTCCTCCCAATCCTGTCACCTATTTGATCGGTGAACTAAAGGGAGCAGGATAATAACCATTACTGAAGACTCATCTCTTTTCTCTGATACCCACATCCCTGCTGCCCTATTTGAGCCTGTGGACCGGAAATCTCTGTCAGCAAAGCTTTCTCTAAAGATATCTAAAATGTAGTGCAAGTTCACAATGGGTTCGGAAATTTATGCTCTTACATATGGAGAGACACCTTGAGATCAGCTTGTTCAGTCCTTACCTTTTTTGTTGTGCAACTGGAGTCCTTTGACGTTCACAAGGGTTAAACTTACTCCCCACAGGAGCTAGGTTTTAGATTTCTTTATATTTTGTTTGGTTAATATTTTTTAATCTGTAAAATTTTCTCTATTCCCTTTTGTATTTTTGAGCAATAAAGTTGCAACCGTTGCCACGGTACTGCTAAGCAAGACCATGGACTTTAGGCTTATCAATCTCACAAATCTAAATTGTAGTAATGAAGTGCCTTGTAAGGAGACTGCAAGTTGAACTCAGGTGTACCTCAGAACAGAAGTAAAATCTGACCTAATGAAACACAAAAACAAGGATTTTGCCAAAGCTTTGCAGTTTTAGTTCATATAGACCATAATTGAATGATTTAAATGGGGAAAGAAAGAAGGTGTATGTCCCATTTAGGAAAAAGATATGATAATAGGACCAAACGTGTGCTTTTATTCTAGATCACCCCAATGAGAGTTATTTATTGCCATTTAATCTGTTTAGTAGAACAAATATATACTTGTGCCGTGTACCTATACCCTTAAGTTAAAATTTGGATCCTGAGATGGCATCTAATAGCTGCCCCGATTTCAAATTCTGAAACCTATGCTATTTGGTACTTAATTTCATTGTGCACTGTTGAAACATTTCACTGAAATGTATTTCGCAACTAACTTGATGGAAATAGTTTTTTTCCATGAAAAACATTTGTACACAAGGTGGAGACCAACCTGTTAAGCCATTTATAAGAAAGCATACTGTAGAACAAACTGTACTTTTTTAGGAGACCTGAGTCAGGAGAGAGGAAACTTTTTTCACATAAGCTGTTACGTATACTTAAGAACCAGGTACGGCCTGGTTCTTAAGTATAATAAGATCAGTGTAAATGCAGGTGCATGCAAGTCTATAGGTATCAGTAAGACAATGAGAGTGGTGCAGTAAAGTGTTGAAGTTGAGTTCCATGTGTAAACATAAAGAGAAGCGGTTATGAGGCAAACGGGGCCAAGCCCAGAACAGGAGCCATCCGTGGCAGTGGACCCCAGCAGAAGAAGAGGAGAGCGAGAGAGAAAGAATGCAGCCATGGCAAATGAATTACAGATGCTCAAAGACGTGTAAAATGATTCCAGCACTCCAAAAGACCTCCGTCTCCTCAGTAGGAAGAGTCTGCTCTGACCTTTCTTATACAGAGCCTCAGTGTTATGAGTCCTGTCCAGTTTGTTATTCAGATGAACACCTAGGTACTTATAAGAGTCCACTATCTCAATGTCCGTTCCCTGGAATTTCACAGGTGTCAGTGGGATGGATCTGCTTCTGCGAAGGTCCACCAGTAGCTCCTTGGTTTTCCCTGCATTAATCAGAAGGTGGTTCTGTTGGCACCGATTTACGACGTCCTGAGTCTACTATTTATACTCTGAGTCGTCCCCAACTGTGATGAGGCCAACTATGGCAGAACTGTCAAAGAACTTCTAGAGGTGGAAGCATGGGGAGTCGATGTAAAAAAGTCTGCATTGTAAAGGGTTAAGAGGAATGCAGAGTATAGCACAGAAGAGCATTAGATAATTTTTTACCTAGAAAGATGAGCAGTATTATTGGATATCTAGGTGTTACTGAATAGCTATTTAAGCTTAGTAAAAGATCAGGGAGACAAAAATGTAATAAAGGTTTTTATTTAGCTAATTCCAACATTCAAGCGAGCAGGGAAGAACAGTGAATTATGCTCAGAAACAGCATATTTATAGAGCAGTAGGGTACAGGGACACCTTAAATCGTAAAAAAAAAAAAAAAGTTTGGATCCCCACATGCCGTAAATTGAGGGCAGTCACAGTTTTTAAATTGTTGGTTAGCTTATGTTTTTTTTTTTATTATTTATATAATATACAGAGTTAAAGAAATTTGAGTCATATTGTAATGCTGTTTTAGGGTTTCTACCAAGATGATATGGTCAAACCTTGCTAATGATGAATAACTAAAGAGTTTGAAATATCCTGATCTACATATTGCCTGAAGGTGAGATATGAAATACTGGTAAATTAAGGAAATTTATATAAATAGAGATACAATGAGTTTGTATCATAATAAATTGTTTATTAAGAATCAACAAAAAACATATCTGATTAACGTTGGTGTTTATTTCTCCTGATTATCATTTGGATTTTCTGTTAGGCAAAGTTATGACTGTAGATTATGGCCTAGCTGAATGAATACTAACAAAGTGAGCACTTTTTAAGACAGTCATCAAGGTTAAGAGTTAAATAAATCTTAGATTTGTGCATTTGCACCTGATTCGTTTTAGCCTTTACCCTCAAACCATGAAATGTACCTGCTGTACTGTAAGTACTCGTAACACCAAATGGAGTTCAAAGATCCTTTAAGAAAGTGATTCGGTATGGACTAGTGGTCACAAGAGCAAAAATGCTTTTAAAAGTTTCCTAATGTGACTTTTTTGTGTGTTTTTTCTCTTTTGAAAAGCCTCTAACAGAAAGGAAAAGGTCACTGCATCAATTCCTGCACACAATTGCCCCTGCAGCTGTCGCTACCATTTCACAAAGTGCAGCCCACTAATTACATCAGTGTTACATCTAATGGAAGCAAAAGCAGTATGTGTGCATTAACAGAGACCCTACCTCAGTCATTATTTGACGAAGAGCTTCAGCACCTGGTGACAAACAATAAGCCAATAATAAGGCAGAATATGTGAAGAATCTACAAGTAATAGATAAAACTGGAAATGTATATATGTTTCTAATAAACTAAACGTCACAAGCCTTTTCAAAGGAAACTAACACGTTGGTGTTAGAATAACCTGTTAATGGCAGCCTGCCTAAACCTGTGTAGAGATTCATAAACATGGCGAAATAACTTTCACGAGTTTGTAGAGGATTCTGTTGTGGGCATTATTGGCAGTCTTGCTGAGGCTTATATTTTCTTTGTATTGATATCAAAATTATATTGTGTGTAACAAAATTAAGAAATATATTGTGATATTGTCAAAGTTTGAAGAAGGACCCCAACATGCAGAGGCGGAGACTGGTTCTTGCAGATTTATTGAGATGATTGCAGCAGACAACAAATAAAATGGTAAACAGGCAAGCAACAAAGGACAATAGCAGAGAGTAATATGAGAGTTGCATTTGGATTTTTTTATGGGTGAGTCAAAACTAATGTTTTCTCAAGCCGTTTATCTAATTAGGACAGTTCCTCTGTCAATATATACAATTATAATGTTCATTATGTACATAGCAGAGATTTGGAAATGAAATGGGGGCACAGACAGATTGGATCTTTCTTAACAGCGAGTTCCTTTATCTGCCTTTATCTGGGACACTGAGTAATAGTTTGATCTGACTGGAGCCAGGGATCCAGACATTTACAAAAGTTTATGATGTAATGATGTATTGTGATGATGTGGCAGGGTGTGACACTGGAGTTGTATAAAATGCTTTTTTTATCTGTGATTCAGGGCAGACTTCCTGTAGAACCGACCCCGTTGGTAAGCGCTGCTATCTCTAACACAAGTAATTTATCCGGTATGAGTAAGATTACCTTTTATGGGGAAAAAAAGACTTAGACTGTAGACTTAGAAATTTTGTCATTTTGTGTACACGAATGTAAACAAAAAGAAATTTCATTTAAAACAGCTTTAGACAATTAAATTTTTTAAAGTGCAGCCTTCAAAAACATTAATAAATACATAAAAAAATGTAATATATATGTATGACTGTAATATATATAATATATATGTAATATATATGTATATATATTTTCAGTTCTAACATAAATTTTATTATAAAAAGAAAAAAAAACAACAACTGTTTTCTCACCCCTCGTGGGGTGGTATGTGTCATCCTCAAGCTTGGGTCCTCTACCAGAGGCCTGGGAGTTTGAGGGTTCTGCGCAGTATCTTAGCTGTTCCTAGGACTGCGCTCTTCTGGACAGAGACCTCTGATGTTTTACCTGGAATCTGCTGTAGCCACTCTCCCAGTTTGGGGGTCACAGCCCCCAGTGCTCCAATTACCACTGGCATATATATATATATATATATATATATATATATATATATATATATATATATATATATATATATATATATATATATATATATATATATATATATATATATATATATATATATATATATATATATAAGCCTCTTTCCAGAGGGCAGCAGGGAGAACAGTCCATGGTGGGGGTGTGAGGGGTCATTTATGATGTCATGCCGCACTAGGATGAAATGTCTTTAAAGGAGGGAAGAGGACCTCCGATGATCTTCTCTGCTGTTCTTACTACTCTTCTCACCTCCTTCCAGTCTGAGGCGCTGCAGCCTTCACACCACACAGTTGTTGTCATGTCTCATTGTTATTGAATACACACACATGCATTGTAAAGTGTTATTTAGAGTGTTTGTCCAGAGTTTTGTCCTGATTATATCAGAGTTATATATTATATAACTCTATTACATCAGAGTTATATCGTCTCAGGAAAGAATCGGGGAACGCAAGCTTAAAGATGTTAACACATACCTTTCCTTTTACAGATGACGTATAGGAGGTAATAAAGAGAATCCAGCAATGAGCAACTGCAGAGAAGGAGTTAATATACCGGGAAGGGGAATACTGAAAAATGCATGGAGTAACTGACTAAAGGGAGCAGGTGTGGGAAGAAAAAGATGAAAGAGAACTGAGGGGAAAGAAGAGTAGCATTGTAGGTAACAGAGAGCAACCGGAAAATATAACAGGGCCTATAAGTAACTGGAATGAACTTTGATGACACAAAATGGAAATGAAACTAATAAATAAGAACAGAAAAAACAGAATGAGCAAGTGAAAACTAGATGACAGGGAGAAGACTGGAAAAACTGGGATAATTACAATGCCATAGGAATAACAGTAAACAATAAGCAATGAAAAACTACAATAAAGACTAAATAAATTACAAGAATACAAAATAAGACATAACTGAAAAAATCCCAAGGAAAAGTTAAACTAAGAAGTAAATAAAACATGATAAATCAAAATAAAAACCAAGAATAAAAATAATTCTAAGGGTAACAAAATAAACCCTAATAAAACAAATTTCCAAACCCAGGAGGACTGTGGTAAAATAAGATTCGACACGGGATGCTAAAAGGAAAAAAAAACAGAAAAACATAAACCACTAAAACACAAAAGGTCAAATATAAACACAACAAATGTCCAGAGCAGCAGAACATGACAGATATAAGTTTTGGGCATATCATCCAGCCATAAAAAAAAAATAATAATAATAACACGTTTAGCCACATTTGAAATACCTTATTCTATTTTGCATCTGCTTAGACTCTCCATAAACTGAATATCTCTGTGGGGCAGAAAAATATAACTGCTATTAAATCGGGACCAGTTGGACACAAGCAAACAGCAAATCAGCTGACATAACTCATTTTGAAATGACCCACTGATGATGCAGACTAAAAACTGGTTCTCATGCTGTGATGGGACTTTAAGAAAACTTTGCGGATTAATGTCTTTAAACCATAGGCAAAAAAAAAAAGGAAGATAAAATAGATAAACCAATATTCCTGGTAAGTAAGTAAGTAAGTAAGTAATTCTGGCTTAAGCTTTAAATTGCTTTAAAGCCTCAGAAGGACATGCACTGGTCTCTTATCTTGCAGCCAGGTGCCTTTATTGGTATTCTTTTGTAAACCTGCTATAGGCATAGAATACAATCTTCCTCCCACAATAAAACAAGTGCTTCCTAAACTATCACATATAGCTTTCTCCCATTTATACCCACAGGAATGTGTAATGATTGTGGTGTTCGGTTTGGAGTACATCATCCGCATCTGGTCAGCAGGATGTTGCTGCCGCTACAGAGGATGGCAGGGTCGGCTGCGTTTTGCAAGGAAGCCCTTCTGCGTCATAGGTGAGTTTAACCTCTCCAGCACCCTGGTCTTCTATGACAGAGCGCACTTTCTCTTTCTGAGTTTAGTCTCTCAGCACTCTATAATGACCATGGTTTGCTGATTTCATTTTCAGCTGTGGTAAGAGCTTTAAAGGCAGGAAGTCTTTTGCAAAGACGTGGCATTAGCTGTATTTGACCCTTTCCCATGTTTATACTTGGATCTTTCTGCTTGGAAAGTACAGTCAGGAGATCAGGCCAGGCAAGAGGGCACAGGGTTTGTGCTGCCCCCTCAGCTGTATTGCTAAGGGGTATTTAGCAAAATATCAAGCACACTATGCAAGATAGAAGTTCTAGTTAAGGGAAAGGGAGAGGATGAATGGGACACTGCATCAAAAAGGTGAAGTAAGGATTTGAAACTTTCTACAAGGTTGTTAACAATTGTTTTATTGTAGATTCTGTGTTTTTTTTTATTATAAATTATGTTTTCATGTAAAACTTTTATGCATTCAAAAATAAAGACTCCGACCACCATATTTTCATTATTTAATTTTTTTTTTTTTTAATGAAGTTTAGGTGCAAATTTAATTGGGAAGACTCTCTCACCTGCCCACAAATTGCCTCCTTATGCAGCCTAAGGCCGCAGCCATTCATTGGTCAGGACTGTATTAAATATCAAAGTCTGATTCTCTCACTTCCAGCCAAGCTAGAAACCTCCTCTGTCCATTCTACACTTTCATCTCCAGACATCAGCAATAGAGTGAAGATCTTTGTGCTATTTTGTGTTTGCTGAGTTCATATGGCAAATACTATGACACAAGTGAGAAACAGCATTTTAATATAAACCTTTGATTAGCCACTGAGCTGTCATGATGGGTCTCAGAGTTAAGCCCAAAATGCAGAACACACACGTAAACTGGGTAAAAGTTCAACAGAGTTTATTGTGGTACACAAGCACACGATAAAGAATAAGTTCTGGAACAGGTTCAGGGCTGGTTCACTAAAGTCTTGACTGGGACTGGAGACTGTTGGTTAGCAGAGTTCATGGGAAGCTAAGCATCTAGCTTCAGGCTTAGCATGGCAGACCTTGATCTGAGCTTCCAGCTCACTGCAGAGAACAACAGGGAATATCCACATAGGATTGCTCAGGCTGAGCTTCCAGCTCATTGCAAAGAACAACAGGGAATATCCACATAGGATTCTACAGGGTGATTCCACATAGGAACCTTCAGGTTGGCTCACCAGGGCAGATTAGCAGGTTAAGCTCTCCTAGAGCTTCAGGCTTGAGACTGGTTTCCTGTGATGCAGCTCTCCCTGAGCTTCAGACCAGAGACAGGGTTCCAGTGAGGCAGCTCTTCCTGAGCTTCAGACTAGCGACAGGTTTCCTGTGAGGCACAGACAAAGGAGAGATTAGAATCAGATCTCACTCTAGAGACAACCAAGATTCAATCTGTAACAGAGGCTCAGGAAGCTAACCAACTAAGATCAACACTGCGGCGTGGAAGCAAGTTCTGGCAGGAGCTTATAAAGTGGAGGTCTCCTGATGAGTAGATGGAAATCAGGTGTGCAGGAAGGTTCCAGCTCCAGAAGACCCACGGCGCACTCTGCTGGAGACAAAGGGTAGTCTCCAGATCCCAACAGTAACTCCAGCCCTAAGGGAAAATAACAAAGAGCACAAGGGGATCCTCGGTGCCCTCTGGATGGCAAGCCTGAGGATCCTAAGTATGAGCCTTCCTAATGAGTTCAGAACCAGTATGCGCCAAGTGATCGACTTATTAATCTTAATTTTTGTGAATTTGATGTAATATTTTCATTTGGGTTTACAAATAGACTGGCAGTGCTAATGTTCACAAACTGCTATAAAAAAATCTCAAATGTAACACAAAAACACTAATTTTATCTACTCATACTCCAATTTAAAAAAGTTGGTTTTTGTTTATGTTTTGTTTTTTCATAATAATTTTCTCTACCCTCTTTCCCCTCTGCCACCACAAGACATCATAGTGCTGATAGCATCAGTGGCGGTGGTATCAGCAGGTAGCCAGAGCAACATGTTTGCCACCTCAGTCCTGCGGAGCCTGCGCTTCCTGCAGATCCTTCGGATGGTCCGGATGGACCGAAGAGGCGGCACCTGGAAGCTGCTGGGTTCCGTGGTGTATGCCCACAGCAAGGTTAGACTAAAAACTGCTATAATCACCAGAATTTCCCCATTGTGGGACAATAAAGGAATTCTTTATTCTATTCTATTCTATTCTATTCTAAAACACATGGAAAATCACCCTAGACTGACTGCTGGTCCAGCTTAGATTTGACAGCTGTGTGACAAAACAGATCAAGACCAACTACTAGATAAAATTAAACATTATAGAAAAAAACAATAACACAATATATATATAAAAAAAAAAGACTTTCTATTTCAACTGTAATAGTTTGTCGTTAACACATTATTACTTATGATGTGTTATGCTGAAAAGTATAGAATCAGTGTTTATTAGTTTATTTATTAGTTTATTAGTCATGAATATTCAGTAATATGTGAATTTCTCGTCCTGAAACTTTTTTTATATATAAAAATTCTTTAAAAAAACATATTTAAGGGAACATAGCCACACCATTCAACAACCCACTGTAAAAGAACCAGTTTTAGAAAAGAAAGCGCATTGTCTTACAAGGAATAGAAAAATGATGTATCCATAACATTTTAGTGAAAACATAGTGATCCAGTTACTTTGTTCTTGTTTTTCTGTTCCAATTTCTGAAACCTCTTGCTCTCTTTTCTTTAAATCTTTGCTAATGCTCTGCTTTCACTTGCAGCTGCCCACACAGACATATTCTCTTTTACTTCTACAGTACCTGTAGAAACCACAGCAGGTCATTTCTGCTTTTCTTTGCTTCTTTTAAAGATGGAATCTTTTATCTATTCCTACATCTCTCGGTGGGAAAGCTTCTGGCCAGCTATGTTTCCAGTGCATCTTTAAACAGAAAACACAACTCCTTAAAAATTGTGACATGGGGGCTTTTCTGTACTGGTGTCTAGAATAGAGGTAGCCACACAAATATTTATGTTTTTACCATTTAGCTGCAGATAAAGTAATTATAGCCCTCTTCTCCCGCAAAGCATTGGGATTAAAAACCCCAGGGCTTTTTTTCCCTCAGGGAATTATAGGCTGGCAACCCAGACTGACACACACCATGTGTATTCAATACACAGCTTGTCAGTCACGGCAGGCTTAGACTATACAGTCTAAAAGCTCCTGGATCAATCCCTGGACTGAAGGCAGGAGTTTCCAATGTGTCACCAGAATTACCCATAATGCAATGGAGCAATGTTTTAATGATGCCCTTCATTATATCCAGAAAAAGATAAATATATACTTATATTAACCTCATGCTCTAAAGGCTATTCTTTTTTTTTCTTAAAGACGTTTTTGCTACACATCTGTTGTTATCTGATTGAATGAAAACCTGTGTCTAGAGATCCTATAAGTCCCGCCTTTAAAGTCGGGCTTTTCAGACTGATATGCCATGTTTGAAATTTAATTGAAAGGATAACCTGTCTGGATGAGAAAAACAACAATTATACAGAAGACAGAAATAGAATCCACAAAGCGCAAGCAGATTGCAGTACATGAACCAATAAATCAAAGGAGTACAGTATACACATTAACATGGACACATTTAAATAGCAATTAAGCAAACTGAATACACCAAAAATTGTTTCAATTATAATTCAAAATAAGCAGCATCTGGTAAGAATACATCCATATCAGAAAAGAAAATGTTGTAAGTGAATGAATATAGCTCTCCTAAAGATCTGTAGAGACATAATACATCTAATTAGAACAGGTAGTTTGCTCCAGTCTAATGGAGCTTTGAATGTAAATGCTCAACAATCATTTTTTTATTGACTATGGTAACGCAGTAAAACTGATGGTTGGTATACCTCAGATTATATAAGGACCTAAATGGAACTAAAATAGTTTTAGTGTCATTCTTTAGCTGTCTGAGGGAAAATATCCTTAAGAGGTGGTGAGTCAAGTCTGAAAATAAACGTTCACTTAAGTTGCTTATACTGTAGATGACTTTAGACTCAACTTAGATCTTTGTTTTTACTTAGGATTCTACAAACTCTCTTGCTGTAAAGACATAAGAATTAACTTAGACCAGTGATCTCAGATTTTAGTTCCCTGAACAATGTTTGCCATTAATATGTGAGGGATTGCTTTCGAGTCAATGAGTCGACGCAATCAGCTGGTTTTCCTTAAAAAACTTTTAATTTATCTGATTATATATCTGTATAATCTGTTTGAATTGCCTCAGTAAAGTGCCTTGAGACAACATGTGTTTTGAATTGGCGCTATATAAATAAACTGAATTCAATTGAAACTTAGGTGAAAGTAAACTTGTCGGTAAACCACAGACAGAAGTTCTGATAGTCAAACATATTCTCCTCTTTATTCATTCATAGGTTCTAGATAAGCTTCCATCATTTTAAATACAGACACTTCAAAATGTTCATAAAATAAAAGCATCTGAGGTTATCCTTGATTTAGTTACTACAATACAATGTGCTATACTTCTTATTTTGCACTTCAAAACCTGCAGGAAGGCATGTGTATTGTTTAGACTCAATAGGGAAGGTTTTATATGTGAGTTTGAAATCTCCTAATAATGATTAATACTCCATCTTGGTGAGATGCAGTCTTCAAACCTAACCTAGTGAACCATATAGTAAAGGACTGTATACTTAATTTGCTTATCATTTGTCTTACATGTGATAACTACAATATGTCATTAAACACTTATGTTTTTTTTCAATAAAAGCATTCCTTGTTTTATTTATTCAGAGGTTTATGTCAAAGACATCTGTTTGCAGGGTTTATTTCCATCTCAAATAATTATCTGCTGCTCATATCAGTTTATTTCATATTACTGTAAATAGCATTTATACAAGACATGTAACAAGTTATTATTGGTTAAATGTTGTTTTATTAAATGAGAGAATTAGTTATGGGAGATTTGAGACATACTGTAGATTTGGAAAAAAAATGTCATCTCTGGTTTTCAAGCTTAATAAAATGATGTATAAAGTGGAGGCAAAGGGCTTACCTTAAAAGACGAGAAAGGATCTTTACTCTTAAAGGAATGTTTGTTATTTTCGCTCATCTAAAATAACTGCATCATCTGATTTGTTTACTACAGGAGCTGGTAACTGCTTGGTACATCGGCTTGTTGGTTCTGATATTCTCTTCATTCCTCGTCTACCTTGTGGAGAACAAGTCCAACGACCAGTTTACTACCTATGCTGATGCTTTGTGGTGGGGCACGGTGAGCTTAGTGACATTTGTTGACAAAGCCGATATTAAAAATAAAAGTTTGTAACAGATCTGAGTATTACCCTAAGAAATCAATGGAATTGAACAGTGAAGTTTACAGTGAAGATTTCTTAATTTTGTTACTGCTCATGATGCTTAATCTCTTAATTTTCACTTATGTAATTTGTCTTTGACCAAAGAAAACTGCTATAGGAATTAACCATTCACTTCTATATCAAATAACACTTTTCTTAAATAAAGTATTCATAATGGCAAATGTGGCTTCTTCATTCATGGCAGCTATTGCCTCAACAGAACAAACTACACAGTCTGAAAACATTCAGATAAAATAACATCCGTACATGGTGTAAACTGTGTCTGTCTCTCTATTGGTCAATCTGAGATGATGAAATTTACAGCAGCAAGAAAGTTATTCTTCAATAATTAAACTGCTTCAAAGTGTGAAGGGTAATTTGCATTTACATTATGAAACACTAAGTCAATATTATTAAGATTAGTTCCTGTCTTCTACCACAGATCACCCTGACAACTATTGGCTATGGAGACAAGACACCAAAGACCTGGACAGGAAGGCTGCTGTCTGCGGTGTTTGCCCTCCTGGGCATCTCTTTCTTTGCCTTGCCTGCAGTGAGTACATTCTCTCTCAGTGACTTCTTTTTTTAATGCATTTGTTTGTGTTTACATTTCCCCTTTACTATAACCTGACATTTGGATTTGTATATAATTAGACAATTAATACAGCTGAAAATTAAACAGCAAAGCTTTTATTCTAACATTAAAGTTTGTATGAGGAGATTTGACCTGCTGAAATCATGGTAAAATCCAATATCTGTACTTTCACCCGAAAAACTAAAATGTGAATCTACAGGGCATGCCTTTTTCTGTGGAGGTTAAAACATTTTACATTGATGCGCTACATGTTTGATATAAGGCAAGGTAAACTGATTTATGTAGCACATCTCAGCAACAAGAAAATTCAAAATACTGTACATGAATGAACAAAACCTAATAGGAAAAAGCAGAAAAAGCGACATTACAGTGGCATAGTATAACAAAAGTGAGTATTAATGATCAATAGAATAAAAACTGAAATGAGGAAATGATTATGAAAATGTAAAAATGAAATTATTTTCAATAAAATAATTTATAACATAAGGGAGAAAATAAAAATAATGAAGTGACTGAATGCAGGTAAGGGAAGATAGACTTTAAACTCAAACAATACTCAAAGGACTGTGAACAACTACATTTTTAACCCTGGGTTTCAGCAATTTTAGTCTCTATTTTATCCAGATTAGTAAAACTAAAGTTTAGAACTATAATGTGTTAATTTGTTTCTCCCTGCTTGGTTCTTTCTGTGTATTCAGAGTAGATTTGTCACAGAAGACCTCAGAGGACTGGGAGGTTAATACACAGCAAGTGTGAAATGTATTTCGGTGCTAACTAAGCCGTTCAGCAATTTATAAACTAACAGAAGTATTTAAAAGTGTTTTCCCTTAAAAGGGGAATCAGTGGAACAACTTTAAAATGTGCGTAATGTGCTACACTTTCTTAGTTACAGTGAGGATGCAGGCAACAGCATTCTGGATCAGCTACAGCTGTCTAATTGAGTTTTTAGGCACTTTGCTTTCTGCTCGGTGTTGGAATACATGTAGTAATGGATAAAATAAAGAACATCTTTAAATTCTGATATTTTAAATATTTTAGTGGGTCTAGGGTTCTTGGGTTACCTTGTTTTCTTTCAACCTTTCAATTGTGGCTTCATTCTTGTTTAACGATATTGGATTTCCTGATTATGCACACTTTGGGTCTGATCGTTTATGCAATACATTAAAACTCCTTACTTTTTAAACTGGCTAAATATCTATTTTAAACAAAACACTATGTGGGTTTATATTACAGAAAACCAACTAATGCATTTCTCATCAGGGTATTTTGGGCTCAGGCTTTGCTCTGAAGGTGCAGGAGCAGCACAGACAGAAGCATTTTGAGAAGAGGAGGAACCCTGCAGCCTACCTCATTCAGGTAAAGCTGATTATCCTTTGGTTGTTACATTAATGTATTGAAAGTAGCAGTACTTCTAAACAGAACCCTTCAGTGTGTGTTTGTTTTTAACCAATGAAGTTCCCGTGTAGTAGAACAAACAGCAGCAAACCTAAACATGGAGCAGTAGTGGTAGCGGTCAACCAGACCATGTGTAAAGTTGTAAATACCAGTTGTATGAAGTGAATCTACTTTAATAAAAGCTTGTGGAACATTTTAATGCCACTAACTGTCATTTATTCATCCATGTAAAAAAGGGTGTTTGTATCAACTCTATTTGAATCAAAGTTCATATCAGTAGGCAGTTGAAAATGCCACCCAATATTGCACTAAACAATTGGGGAACACTGAAGCTTCTAGAGCAACTGTTATTTAAAATCAAAGGAAAAAGATATGGACAGCTAACAAAAGAAATCTTTGTATGAAGTCAAACTGTTTTTCCTGTTTTTACTTTAGCTTGTATTTGAATGTTTTTTTATGAATTATAAAAAAATAAAATCAGTTCTTTGTTTAAGCAATGACTATACTAATATAGAGATATGGACCAATAGAAATATCCTTTTGTTAATATTACTGTGATGGCGGACGCCAATATTCATCCATATTATATTTTTCATATACAGAAAGGCTCTGATACTGCTTCTTTGCATCACTTTCACAAGAATAAATACCTTATGGCCAAAACTCCTCCTGTCCCTCTTCCGAAACAAATGGATAGAAATAAACATTGGTTGTTATTACTTTTTAACTGATTTTACTTATCAGAGCAATACCAACCTGTTAGAAAAAGACTAACCTGATATTAATACTGATGTATTGTGCATATTTGTTAAAAAACATTTTATTAACAGCTGTAGCACTACAGTAGACCTGACCCAGCACTTGAACTGCTTTGGTTAAAAGGGTGTAGATGTTTAACTTTCTGTGCTAGAGTATTCAAACCCCTTAAACCTACACATGTTACATTACAGCCTCAAACTTACGTGCATTTATTGGGATGTTATGTAATAGATCAATGCAGTCATTAGTGGTAAATGGAATAAAGATAATAATAATAATTAAAAAAAGTATTCAGTTCCTTTGACTCTCTGTTTGACTCACTCCAGCTGCACAACCGAAAAACAGACTTGCCAGATTTAACTATATCAGAATCAGAATAAGAAATACTTTAATAATCCCAGAGGATCTAAGTAAAATGGAACAATAATTCATGAGATTTAGGTCAGAAAACGTTTAAATTGCTAGATTTTATTTTTTCGAAGTTGCTATTTTCCTTTCACTTCATTATTGCTTATTACTTTGAGCTGATGTATCATAAGTCCCAATAAAATACATTGGAGATTTTGCTTATGAAGTGACAATTTAAGAAAACAAAGGGTTTTGTGAAGACTTTATTTAAATATTCATTTTTGAAAAATAATGAATAACCCCATTTATTATTTTTTTCATCAGTTTCTCTTTTTCCATCCTGGAACCTCTGAAGCAGCACAATAATGTCTAGCCCTCATCCTCACCCTATGGTTGCCCCTTTAATAAAATTTTGTTTTTGTATTCCCAGATGCTTCCATAAGTCTCCCGTCTTCTTCCTTTTACTTCTTATTTTCTTCCATGCACCTCCACAAGCTTGATTCTCTTTTTTTTTTCAACCACTGTTGCTCATTCATCTGCTCCTCTTCATCTTGTGCATCTGAATGTTTAACCAGGCTGCGTGGCGTTATTACTCCACCGACAGCATAAGGCCCTACCTGGATGCCACATGGCAGCACTATGAGAGCCTCCTGCCACTCCACAGGCATGTATCCATGCCTGACCTCCACCAAACCGCTGACCTGTGATACATGTTTTATTTTTTTGCATTTCCAATAATCTTTTGTTCTTATTTGTTTAATCATTGTCTTCGTCCTTTTTGCCCTTTTCCTTCTGGTGCCCTCTTTGGTCCTGTTTTACTTGTTGGTTTGTTTGTTTGTTTTTTTGCTTTATATTTAACTGGGTTTTTGGGGGGTGTTCTGTTTGTATTCTGCATGCAGTGTGTTTGGCGTAGTTATTCGGCTGATGAGAACTCAGTTTCCGTTGCTACCTGGAAGCCTCACTTAAAGGCGTTGCACACCTGCAGCCCTACGAAGTAGGTACAACTATGGCAGGTGATGTCTATATTTGTTGTTTTTGTTACACTGTCTCTTAGATAGCAGATTTAGGCTTATTCAATTGTGTTGCTGTTTAACTGTTGTGTTAAGTTTTTGCTTCATTATGTTTATTTATGCATATCCACACATGCTATTTTCATGTTTAAAAAATGCTATAAAATATAATTCCTTTATTTTATCACTATAATGTAAAACTTTACTTAAAGAAAAACTACATTCCAACAAATTTGCTGTGCACTGCTTATTTGTACCTCTTATATGATCTGTTTATGCCAACAGCACAGTAATGTCTATTTCTATATCATTACTAAATGACCATTTTGTAAAAAAAAAAAAAATAATAAGTTTTGTTTAAGAAAGTAATCTAAAGAAAAAAACTCTCCCAGACTTATCAAATGACCCCGCTCATGAACAGCGAACGACCGTACCTGTCACTAGGTGCAGAAGTCTGACTAAACATTTCCTGAACATGGCAGAAAACACCTGATTTCAGTGATTGCTGCTCAGCTAAATTTTGATTCCAACAGGCTTGTTTAATATGTATTACTGTGATAGATATTACTGTGTATCTATCACATAATAGATAGAAAGATAAATGGAGAAAGAAAGAGAGAGAAAAAAATGTGTAAAACTATCCAAAAAGCATAGGTTAAACATAAAAAACCCAAACGTAAGTATCTTTCTCTTCTTGGAAGCACATTTTTAGTTTCCCTTGAATGTTTGCATGCAGTAGTGAGTGTTTTACTAAGTTTCTTTCTCTGAAATGCATGCTAGTAATCAGTGATGCTAACCCTAAATTATGAGCACTTGTGAAAGCAGTGATTGCTGGAACAGTGCTGATTCTAAGAAACACGCGGGTGTTTTTGCAAGTTTTAGATTATTTCAACAATACATAAATCAGTGCCATAGTTTACCGCTATACTTTTTTTCTTATATATATATATATATAATCAGTTATCACAGCTCTAAACACCTGTTAATTTACATCAATTTTAGCAGTTTGAGCTCCCGACAAATATAAGGCACCATCTAAGGTCAACTACATAACACGAAGCTTTTGGATGCACTTAGTATTGTATTTAGATTTAAGTGTTGCATCCAGCAACTGGGTAGCTTAACTATATAATTTTATGTCCCTTTGATAGATAATACAGGTGTGTATGTATACAGTTTGTGATTGGAACTTCAGCTAAGCCCAACTTCTATAGATCATTTTAAAACCTGCCGAAGAAAAGTGCCACCAAAAAATTGTATCACTGCATTAACTCATAATAATAATAATAATGTCAGGTTGTCCACAGTAGAGAAGAACCCAAAGTGCTAAGGTTCAATATATGTTATTAATTTTGGAAAAGAAAAAAAAAAAAAACTCCCCTGGATACATATACTGGCTGAAATATTTCCATACTCTAAGAACATAAAGTTACTCATTGATAGCATAACCAGCTTTTATTTAAACTTCTTTCATTTAGAAGTTAAAGCTTAAACATGCAAAAACACCTTATATATATTTCATTTTAAGCTGTTTTTATTATTATTGCTACTGTTTTTATGAAAGCCTTAAATAAAATGTATCCTCATACTTTTCTGCATTTCTCTTTTCTATCAACACCAGGAAGGAGCAGGGAGAGTCAACAACCAGGTATGTGATCGTTTCACTGGACTTTCACTGTTAGTGTGTGTTAGAAATGTGATGTAGAAACTCAGATGGAGGTTAGTCTGTGGACAAATCTACATAGCTAGATACTGCCCCATCACTAAGTCATATACTGCCATTTATGTCTAACTGTGACAACTAGAAAAGTCATTCGAAAAATTGTTTTTTTTCAGTTAATTACATTGATTAAATTGTTTATCTTTAATTAGATGTAAAACTAGCTTAGCAATTACTGATAACTACTGTTTTGTGCCCCACTGTGAGAAAAAGACAAAAACAAATTACTTATATTGTATTGTTCTGCAACATTAATACTATTATTTGGTCAGAATTTTTAGTCTTTGTTTAGCTTGCAGCTCATGTTGTTTCTTTCATGCTTATTCACACAGTAAGTTAACTGCAGCGTTTATTTGGTGTTTCTGTATTTATTAAAATACACATCAGTAAACAAGTATAACAGAATGCATTTTCTTATTTAGTTAGCCTATCAATGGATAAAGTCCTTTTAAACACAAGTTCTATTAGTGGGTTAGTGTTTTAAGCCCTTGCTCTATCTCTGGGCCCTATGAGCACCTACAGCAGCACCCTGCTTCACCACACTGCTGTGAGTCTGCCTCAGGGCAGCTGTAGCTACAATGTGGCTTACCATCTCCTGTGTGTGAATGTGTGCATGAATGAGTAAATGACTGGATGTAGTAAAAAGTGCTTTGGGGACCTGATAAAACAGTGTATAAGAGCCGGCCGTTGACCATTCAGCACTGCACATCATGATCAAAACTGTAGATTTGGTATGCTGAATAAATATGAAGTTCCCATAGTTAAAAATTTTGTTGTTTTTTTTAAAGTAACCTAACCCCCCTTTTTTGCAAATAAACTGCATAAATCAGGCCATCACAGTTCAATCTTTTTGTTACTGTGCCATTTCAAAAAATGTTTGTATAACGTTGTTTAAAACCATTCTTATGCTGCCCTCTGAGTGTTTAAAAGTGGCTAGAGCAGTAAAATGTGTTCCCTATGGTTGGAATGGTACATGTCTATGTCACAGCCCTAACCCTAAAGTTTTGGCTATAGTGGTGGTTACGATTAATCTTGGAAATTACAAGTGATTGCAGGTGATGTGTTCTCTTAGGTGATAACATTTTAGTTTTTAGATCCTACAGTGTTCAGATATATCATCTGCAGGCAGTGTGCAGTAACAACCGAGACAAAGACAATAACATACCATACCATAAAACCATCTCACTCCATTTTCAGGAGGTACCATTATCTATTAGTCACTAGAGTGCTTTGATTAAGATATGTATAGGATTGGGTCATATCAAATTTACTGTCACCTTCTCTAATCCAAGCCACACTCCAGCTTAACCCCCTGGCACTGTCTGCACATGGCTGTGCACCTCTGTGTCTCTTGGCGCTGCCCATTTGGTGGCACATTTCTTCATTTGTCTGGGGTGACGTTATATTTTTACATTGGGTTTTATTACGCTTTAAATGCATCTATCCATTTAGAAGGATAGAGGATAATAGTTTGAGTTACACATATCGAATACATTTATTATGAGTAAGAGTCCCAAATTCCATTGGACAAATAGTCTAATACAGGATTTCTGCATTGTGTGGCCTTGTGCAGGGCTCACCAATTTGGATCACAAAATGAATTAAATGAATTGTAGAATTGCTTTCAAAAGTCACTTTCTTATGCAATAACTGTTCTTAATGGAGTAAAAATTCCTTTTTTTTTGCAAAGGAACGTATGGAGAATTTCATTGATCTCTCTGCAGCAAAAGTAGAGCAAAAAAGGGTTTTTTATACTGTGTTAACTGCATTGACACAGCAAAGCTGATCTAATAAGAGCAGCTTAAGGTAGGGGGTAATGATATTTAGCCCTGCTAAAAGCTGTTTTTACTCTGGCACTCCATGACTAATGCATCTGTTTGTTTAGTGCTCCTTTTTAAAAACAATAATACCAAAAAACATATTTTTTTTTTACCAGAAAAATATAATAAAACAAGAATGCACAAAAACATATTGTCTCTTTAACATCCACCATCTTGCCTCAGGTAGTTGTTAAGTAGCTTTATAAGCCATTCTTCTTTGTCTGTTTTTATATAGCACAACTATCTCAAGGGTATTTATTAATGGTGTTGATACATTTCCAGAATCATTATGGCAGGATTGCATTCGGGGCAGCAGGGCCAATGTGATGTAATATATTTTGTTTGCGGATACGAAACAGAGTAAATGTTTGTCTGTGAAGCACCACAGCAGCCCTTTTGTTGTAAATAATGTAAAAGACATTAAATGGCCGGTTTAAAAGGCCTTAATATTACTGTGTGTACAATATGCTGAAACATTGCTATGAATAGGTCTCAGGAGAGAGAAAAGAACCTCTCTGTACAGTGGGCTGCAGCTGTGCTACTTTATCTATAACATAGATTCAAAGACTAATATTTGCTTAGGAAAAAAATGCAGCAAAGGTAATTCATAAATGACAATAAAAACAAGGAAACAACAGTGAACTACAAGACTCTACTGAAAGGTTGCTGGCTTCATGCTGCGATTCAGGCACTTGTTGCCATGGCCTGCTTGAATTCACATGGTTAAAGGAGGGATATTGACATGAAGTGCATGACTCATCAAATTGCAGGCTTTTTTTGGACGATTCTGCAGTAGATGTTCATTTTCCTCCACTAAGCCCCTGTTCTGCTGCCTCTGAAAGCCAGTTTTTCTGCAAACTTAAACATCCATTCTGACCTTGTTGTTTAGGCACATTCATGCATAATACTTTTTGCAGGGTTAATAGGTGCATCTTAAAAAAATTGAAAGTAAAAACTATTTTAATTATTTAGCTCACAGAATTAAATTTCGTTGATGGCTTAAAAAAAGTGCAGCAAAGGTAATTCATAAATGACAATTAAAAACAAAATTCAAAAAATGTAATGATACATAAAACAATAAAAAAAAACCTATTCTAAATACAAAGAAATATTATGCCATAAGTTACAAAAACATGATTATAACTTGATGGCGGTTTACTAGACATTTTCTGAACTTGCAAAAGTAGAAACTCTTTAAAGAGCTCTCAAGCATATTAATGGATTTTTTATTGGGAGGAAAACATGTTAGACAAGGGTACTTATTTACAAATTGTAAACTCACGCTTAAGTCAGTGCTTCAAGAGCTAACACACACACACACACATATCTAGGACATGGAGTAAGATGATTTTGTTCATTTAAGCCATTCTTAAATCATATCTTAGGTCATAAATACTATAATGGCGCTCTGACTTTTTGAAATGCATTAAACTCACTTTTTAAGTTAAATAATTAGGTAAAAACATTTATTGGATTCAAATTCACAGAGAAAAGACAGTAGGAATGGTAAAAAAGCTGAAAGTAGATTTTTTTTTAACAATGTAAGGTAAATATTTTCTTTCATCTCTTCCTGCATCAAGTAACGAATCATCATGTGTCTATTTCCCCTTGATTTTTAGTAAAATTCATAGTAATAAGCAGAAGCTACTGAGGAGATGTACGACTTGGAAACATAGGTACACCGTGTTCTTTTTGAGAATGCTAACTAATTCTTGGTGCATGGGTGTCCGTTTAAGGCAGCCGGATAGGCCAGAGCAAGGTGGTCCTGCAGAAAGACATCAGCCCCCCGCCCCTTAAGTGAATAATCTGCTTTTAATTTGATATGTGCCTGAATGATGTGCTACTTTGCTTGATCTGTTATTAAGAATATTAATTAAGAATTTTGCCAAGCTAATCCTCAGCTAAAAGTCAGTAAACCTATAACCATTTATGAGCCTTTTCTTGATTGAAATCTTGCTTTTTATGTTGTATTTTTCTTCAGTCATTTCTTTACTTGCCCCTAAACTAAAAACTACCACACTTGCTATTTCATTCATGTTAATAGTTTTTTCTTCACAATGATCACATGTAACTTCTGATGGTCCTATAATCCAATGAAAAAGATCAGAAGTCAAAATGGATAACTACAAGTTTCCTATGAATTAGCGTTTAAGTAGAACTAATCCTAACTAATTTGTGTATTCAGCCAAACGTAGTTTCTTCAAAGTGACCCAGTTTTCCAGATTTTATTTTAAAGATTTTACTTTTTTGGGCTATATGTATTACTTTGTAGAAACAAAACATTAATGTTTTCAGTAAATTTGCTCAAAGTGCTTTTTTTTTAAACAAAACGATTGTGTATGTGTTTAACTTATTGAAATTAGCCAGTTTATATTAGTCTTGCTTCAGTTTGTTGCCCTTGCTGCTGCACGCTGCCATTTTGCACTAAACACACTTCATCACACAGGACTTCTCTGCACTTATTTGTCCACCTTTCTCACAATTCACAGATGAATTTAAATAATTGTGATTGAGAAACCATTGTATTCAAACATAACAGGCAATATTTTTAATAAACAGTTTAAACATCCCTAAAAAACTCTGACTAAATAAAGCAATTTTCAAATCTGTAACATGTTTTAATGTGATTTTAAGGAACCTACAAATAAAAAGTATCATGTTATAGTAAGGTGGAAGGAAAATAATCTCAGCCTTTTTTAATTTTAACATGAAAGTAAGGTGCACATTTGTATTTAGCTGGCTTTATTTTTACTCCCCACAAAAAGTTAAGACCCATAATCTACATTTGGAATCTGACTTTCTGTAATTTTATACATAAAATTATATACAATATAATATATATATATATATATATATATATATATATATATATATATATATATATATATATATATATATATATATATATACACACACATTTACATTTTAAGTTTGCTAAATTCATTGAATAAAAACCATGGAGAAAAACTAAATTTATAGTAATTGTAATATTTTACGATTAGAATATTGTTTATTGAAAAAATATAGAAATATCTCAAATAAGACAGTAATTGACCTTTCGGCTGGCCTGCTCCTTGTGAACACACCATCACTACTGCGAAGAATAGTTGTGGCAAAATGATGTAACTGGAATCTTTTTTAAGAAAAGAGAAAAATGGTTAAACTATGCTTCAGTTTAGTTAACACTAGTGCAGAAATTCACCTTTTAGAAGGAAAATGCTGGAAGAGTAGATCACTTCGTAATGGCCTGCCCCATTTAATAAAAATGTCTTAAAGTTGGTTGTAGCTTAGCAAAACATTAAAAAAAATTAAGTAATTTAAATGTTACACTTTCACAAAATAGACAACAAAAGGAAATACATTATTTGTTACTTTCGTTCTGGTCTGTGATAAGTAATTGTATAAATTACAATATTTTGATATTCCCCAGTAGTATCTTGAAGGCTGATGTATTCAAATAATCTATTAAAATAAAATGCAATGCTTTAGAATCCTTGCTATGCATCTGGAACATCAACTTCAAGCAGAGCCTGCATTATGTATACAGCAGCTTCAGCAATGCATGCTTGTCTTTTCTTCTTGCCCTGCAGTTGATTTACTTTTATCTCAGAAAAAGCTCTGAATGATGTTAATACCTTTATAAATAAACAAGTTAAAGAAATTCCAGTTACTGATCTCAAACCTGAATAAATAAACAATATTCATCTGTATTTTACTTTTAACTATTATCTCCCTTTTCTTTTGCAAACTCAAACTCCCTCTGCACATCTCCTGGTCCTCTCACTCTCAGCCAGAAGTTGAGCTTCAAGGAGCGTGTGAGGATGGCAAGCCCCCGCGGACAGACTATCAAGAACCGCCAGAGCTCCTCAGTGAACGATCGCCGCTCTCCGGTGGCCGACAGTGGCACAGAGGGCACCAGTCCTGCCAAAGTGCAAAAGAGCTGGAGCTTCAATGACCGCACCCGCTTCAGGCCCTCGCTGCGGCTCAAGAGCCAGTCCCGCTCCACCACTGATGGTCAGTAACACTACTCCCCCACCCTTTGTTTTCACCTACAGGACAGGACTAGCCTTTGTTGTACAAAAAAGTTGCCCTTATAAATGTTATAATTTCAAATCATGTTTTATTTGCTTTTGTAATCTGCTTCTAAACCTACAATTAATAGCTTTGTTGTGATCCTACTCATTGATGACAGTTGTTTTCTCTTAGCTGTGATATTATTGATAAGTGGACATAAGACAACATATGGGTTCATTTAATGATTTTTGCAACATATTGCAGGCTACGTACAGCCTCTGGGGCAAATTACCAATATTTGAGCAAAGATTAAATAGGACCAGTGCCTTTTACTCAAAGCAGTTGGGTTTAAATTAAACACTTATGAAAAAATGATTAGACTACCTTTATTTCTAAAAACAATAGCATAGCTATGCAGTGAAGTTCTTAATTATGTATTTATTATGTTGCTGATATATACAGAAAAGAAAACTTTGGTAAGCAGTGTCTTAGGCAATAAGATGCCACAGGTATAGATTTTACAACTAGGGTTTAGCGAGTCTGCCAAACTTTGAAATTGTATCTATTTTTTTATACCAATATTGCAATTTATTGTCTTTACTGTAACTGTTTTAGAGAAAAGTGCTGATTTTTATTTCAATGTATGGATCTGCACACTAGCTATGACTCTGCCTTCCCGTATGTGTACGGGCAAACGCTCTTTAAGTTTACTACTGCCACCTAAAGCGAGCGAGAAAGTCTGTTGTGCCATCAATAGAGATAATTTTACCCAAATTGAGTGCCGCTTCAATTCAAAAGTTGTGTTTTGTAAAATTGCAATTATATTGTAAATGTAATTCATTTACCAACCCTAGCTAGAACCTAAAGCAATGCAGCATAACTTTACCCCAAATATTAGCTTAATTTAAGATATATGTAATGATGTTAAAATACATCACTTGGCAAGTGTTAAATAAACACCTTTTTGCTATTTTACTTGTTATCAGTATATTTTTTCCAAACAAATGTACCTATAGTTGTATATTAAAAATAAAGAGACGAACAAATATAAAAAAAACAACAGTGGTATATTGTTTAAATATTTTTTCCCCATGACTGTATGTGTGGGGTATCAAGCTCTGGGGCTTTTCTTTGACAGCTTAGAATTTTTAGCATTTGGGAGCTGTTCTATGAAATCCTGCTTCTTTAATAATCCATCTGTTAGGCGACATGAATACTCTTAGTTTGCAGATAACTTTCAAATGCAATTCAGAAGAGTCAATAGCATTCATGTCGCAATCATAACGTAGTTCAAGCAGGTTTAGGATTAGTATGTGCAGGGACTGGTGGGGGTGGGTGAGGGCCGAGAAAGGGGTAAAGACATTTTTATGGGTTGCATTAACATTTAAAAAACATTTTGTTTCAAACACATGCTCTGTTTTACTAGAGTCTTTACATTTGATTTTAAAGGTGCTTCTCTGTGACCCCATTTTCACTTCAGGAAGTCGTAACTCTATAAACAGAGCTGCTGTTGGAGATAAATCCTAAAGACACACCAGAGGCCTTTGTTCTTTACAACTAGTCTGCACTTCCAGACGCTTCAATCAGTTCTTCCCTCTTTCCTTTTCCATTCACTAAATCCCCCTGTCATCATTATGAGACACATAAGGAAGCCTCAACATACTTTGCTCCTGGATCCAGCAGCTTTATACAGATCAGGAGTAGTGCTTACATGGTAGCTTCACATTGGGCTTTGAACTAATAAAATATTGAATTTTTGACATTTTACTTTTCTTTTTACTTATTAAATGCATATGATTCATCATAAGGCTGATTATACAAATATATTGATGTGTTTAACTATAATGCCACGAGTGACGCATAGTTTTCCTGCTCATTGTATATGACGATGAACAATCCCTCTCCTCTGCCTGTTCCTTAAGCAGCGGACTCCGCTGTTGCCGGGGAAGATGCCTTCGATGAAAAGGGCTGTCACTGTGAGATCTCCGTGGAAGACTTGATGCCATCCGTTAAGACTGTCATCCGAGCCGTCAGGTTTGTCCAAAGAAATCACATTTTATTGTACCACAGCTGATGCTGCATTTAGTACCTCACCTGAGTGTCGGGGACTAAAATGACCTAAATGTTTTTTTCTTCTATATTTTCATTTTTGCCAATAGCCTCTGTGACATAGTGAATATTCAGGAAGTATGGTTATTATGGTTTTAAGCACTTGATAATGATCCTATAAAGCTTTGCAAAAGTATTGACCTTACTTAAAACCATTATGATTTGAGGCTGGGTTGAGGCGAAGCTCGTTTGTGTTGGATGGAGACTTTTTTTTTTTTTTGTCTTGAGAAAGATTTTACAAATATGGGTTGATTGGTTAAAAATATGCTATTCCACTCTATAGCACCTTGCTTGTTAGGGATGAGTACCGACACCCGGTATCAAACATGTACTGACGCCTGGTAACAAAACGGCACAAGTTACTTTTAAAAAGAAAAAAAGAAGCAGCTAGCAACCAGTCTAGCGACTTTTTCCTGTGTTTTGGAGATTTTGGCATTGAGGGAAAGCACTGAGCTCTCTGGGTTTACTGTCTTCAGCAGCAGCGTATGTTGTTGTAAACCCCTCCCACTTTGACAGCACTGAAAGGCTGCAGTCGTCCAGTCTCGCCATGCAGGAAACTGTGTCTGCAGTCATTTGAAGGAAGAGAGTAACTACAGTCTGTTTCCCTTTTGAAAATGACTTGCCCTGCATTAGCAAAGCTTCCACTGATTCCACCCTTGATTACAAAGTGAGATGTAAATTTGATTTTAACAAAACCTTTAACTTAATGTTTATTTTCTCTAAAACTCTTTTCTTAAATAGATTTCTCCCTGTTATTGATTTATACTTAGCCTCTCACCCCATCCATGCTGTGCCTCAAATTGTTAGTATAGCAACCAGATTATTATCATAGCAACCATATTATACTAGAACCCAAGCTGGTTCTGGTATAATATTAATTAATATTTGAGTCTTGATATTCTTTTCTACAACAATGTTTTAGTCTTTTGTTTATATATAAAATGTTACTTATATAGTGTAACTGTTTCATTTATGTAAAGAAAGAAGCATTTTTTTTCTTCTATTTTTTTAATAAACCAAGCAGAGCTCATTATTCGTTTTTAATTTTTGAATGTGTTAATTTAAGAAAGGCATTTATAAGAGTATCTATAAAATATCGGATTGATAAGGGGTATCACTTAGAGTAGTTGTATCAATAAATCCTTAACCATCCTCATCCCTAAGGTTTGTTGCCCCGCTGGCAGGTGAACCTCTGCTCTTGTCTCAAACCTATAACTAGAGTTTTTCTGTGGCAGAGACCTGTGTTTACCTTTAGCCATCTTTCTATCGACTAGGACCAACATCTCAGTCTCTGCTAAAAAATCCCTAACCCAGATGGTTTGATTGGGATTATATGTAATCATAGTATTTAGGTTGCTGCCTAGAAAGTTTATTTCGACTTTTCCAGACCAGAATAACTCTGGCCACATGGAAGCTCTTTACCCTGCATTTATAATCTGTAAACAGGATTAAAATGGTTTTCTTTTAGCAATTACGTTTCCTCATAAACGGCTTATTTGTGAAGTGAACAACTTTTTGCTATCCTGTTTAAATATTCTGTCACCTGAGTGGTGAATCTGTGCAGCTCCTCCAGGTTTGGAATGGGTGTCTTGGCTATTTGTTCTTTGTATTATTATGGCGACTTTAAAGAATTAAAAGAAACATATTCTTAAAAACAAAGAACGGCAAATCAAACTTTTTGTTCTCATCCAGCAGGGGTGGCCACCTATCTCTAGATGTTTTTAGGCAAGCTGCATGTTGCTCTCATTAAGTCATATCTTACTGAACAATTCTGCCCTTATTCAATATGGGCATTTTGCTTACGGTACTTATATACACAGTTTTGAATATGTTACTAGGAAGGAGCCTTTCCGGAAGATATGCTTACTTTTTTTAAGCTTTTTGTATCCACACATTATTTATTATCTGATATATAGCTTTCATCCACAGAGTTGTCTTATTAATTTATTTGTATTCCCTCTTTGCTGCCTTTTCCCCTGTTCAGTCATATTTTTTTTTTTTTTTTTAGCCTTGAAATAACTTGGGTATATCAATCTTTTTTATAGAAATGGTATAACACACAAGCTAAAAGACACAGCTACAACCCACACTAGATTTTTTTCAGCTGGATATTCAAGTATTGGGGCCACAATGGAGAAACTGTCAGAATGGCTCTTATTTAAAGAGAAAGAAAACAATTATTGTGGTGAAGCTGCTGCAGATTCTCCTTTCTTACTGTGTTGGAGCACCCTCTTTTGACTGAATTCTGAATATCTTTGTGCTTTTCCTTTAGGATAATGAAGTTCCATGTTGCGAAGAAGAAGTTTAAGGAGACTCTCCGTCCATATGATGTGAAGGATGTAATCGAGCAGTACTCTGCCGGTCACCTGGACATGCTGTGTCGCATTAAGAATTTGCAGAGCAGGTAGGAACCATGAAGGGCTGCACATTGCCTTAGATATCAGCTTTTATTCCTGAAGCCCCTGGGTTGATGGATATGTTTTGTGTGTATTTGTAAGAATGCATATTGTGAATATTCATCAAGATATTGATGTAAGCTTTTTTCTTTTGGGATTTAAGTCCCTCTGTGAGTGCATATGTTTGCTTTTCTCACAGTCTGGACATGACCATTGACACACAGACCCTGAGTACCAGAGCCAAGATCCTTTCCCTCCCCTCCCCTCCCCTTAGCGTTTATGGAAATGTTATTCAGTCAAAACACTTGATGTATGCAGTATCTCTAGTCCCCAGGTTTGATTAGAACATATTAAAATAGGGCTTTTTATAGTGGTTTTAAAATGATGGAGCAGACCTTTTCTTTTTTTTTTCTCCTTTCTTCCATTGAACAATACTAACAAATACATCCCTGTGTTAATACTGACCCCTGCTGTTGCAGAACAGAAATACTGCTGCAGCACCTGTGAATTACCTTCAGCATAAGATCTTTACTAGGTGTAATGATAAAAAATATGATTCATGCGATCCTAACATTCCAATTAGAAATTATTCAAATAGTATCATGATTTGTGACACATTAGGCCTACTTTCTACTTTGTTAATGGATTTACTCACTTAATTGTAAGATGAAAATCAAGGCACTGTGACTACGGCCAACATCAGGAAGTATTTGAGTTTGGTGGCAACGGACATTTTCGGGAAGCAGTACTGAAATGAGGTGCATTCGTTTTTCTTGGAGACATGTGCTTCATCTAAGATGGGACAGGATAAACCTACAGTAGTAGTCTATTCAAGGAATATAGTTTCTTAGCTCAGGTACACTATTATGTCATGATACAGTATACTGTATTATTTTAAAAAAAATCACAAATTAAACATGTCTATGAGTTTGTATCCATGTGCTGTGATCTTGCAAACGACTTAAACTAAATCAGGAAAACACAGGACTGTAGGTAGAGCAGAACTGTGGAGATTAGAGACAATTAGGATCACATTTCCACCAACAACACTGAGCAAATCTCAGGGTTTAAAAGAACTACTTAAATGTGAACCTAATCTTTGCTTTCTATTACGTTTATCTAAAGATCTGCAGGTTTTCTTAGTTTTTAGATAAGAGTTGCACAAAAACAATCGAATCAAAAATGATTTGCTTCTGTACTAAGAAACATCTGTAAAGTAATTGAATATTACAGACAGGATAACTAGCTAACATAGATAAATGACTAGAAAGTTAAATTTAAATATTTAAATTTAATTCAGTTTATTTATATCGTGCCAATTTATAACATGTCATCATCTAAAGGCACGTTACAGAAACAACCAGATCATACAGATTAGTTGGACGTTCCTGCCAAGGAAAACCAGCTGATTACATCGACTTATTGACTTGGAAGACATGCTCTTCCTGGATGAGCTCAAGGCAGCAGTATTCGTTTTTCCATTGAGTCTTCATTAATCCCTCACACCAAGCATGCATGTAGAGGAAAATTCCCTCTTAACAGGAAGAAACCTCCAGCAGAATCCAGCTCAGTGTGAGCAGGCATCTGCGTTTAAGCAAATGAATACATCAATTCCTTCAATATTAATTATGGAAGAAAATACATGTTTAAATGTTTAAATAAATGTTTAAACTGGACACCATGGCAAAACTTAACCAGTATAACTGTAGAAAATAGGTTTAATGATGAATATCCATGCTTTTCCATTCATTTTGTCCCACTTAGTCCTTGTCAGAGTCGTTGTGGGGCTGGTACTTATCTCCGGCAGTCTATGGGCAAGACGGTACACCCTGGAAAGGTCGCCAGTCTGTCGCCTTAACGTTTAATATTTTATAAAAGAATATTTTCTGATGTTTATACAGATTTACTTAGCATTTTCTTTTTACTTAGAACCTTCCTATTGTTGAATTAAAACCTATAATTGAATTAATTAAAAGAAAGATCCTAAAGCTATGGCCAAATCTTTGGAAATTATTTCAGACTCTCAAACTGCAGGTTGGGAAATTAAATAGAATCCAAATATTAGCTAAATGAATATTGTAGATAAATTGCTGCCATTGCTTTTAAATTTTTTCCATTTTTATTTTCCTGTTCAAAATGATTCCCCTTCCAATAAAAAAGGGGGCACATTATTGTCTGAAGTCCTGTCTGGAGGTTTCTAATCAGAGTACAAGTATATTTAATACTTATACTTACATATTTGTGTTTCTGTGTTTGTAACCAATCCAGGGTGGACCAAATCCTTGGTAAGGGACAGGTCCCTTTGGATAAGAAGATAAGAGAGAAGCTGCTGTCTGATGCAGATATATCAGAGGACATGAGTATGCTGGGCCGTGTCTGTAAGGTGGAGAGGCAGGTGGGTAAAACTGGTGGCTAACGCCTTTCTGTAAACCTGCTTTATAGTCATGCAACTTCATGAATAAGGATGTCATAGAAAGTTAATTTATTTTAAGGATTCAGTTTAAAAAGTAAAAACATCCTTTTTAGATTTATAAAACACACACGAGACATGATACATCTTGAGTCATTGCTTTTAAAGCTGTGGCATCCCTTCTGTTTAACCACTAATGATCCAAAAGGAACATCAGAGGAGTTCCACTTGGGCTAAGGAGAAAAAACTCATTCATGTGTGTTAAATGTGTTTCACTTTTTGAATTGTAATGTTTAATTAACTTTTTGGTGAGGTTCTACTTTATTGAGAAGCACCAGGAGAAGATCGGCTGTAGCTCTGATTATTTTCACCTCTCAGTCTTGTCATCATTGTCTTTCCACACAGGTACAGTCAATTGAGTCAAAGTTAGACTCTCTGTTGGACATTTACCGTCAGGTACTACGAAAAGGCTCCTCTTCTGCTCTCACTCTCTCCTCACTGCCGCTGTTTGAGCTGGAACAGACCTCAGACTACAACTCTTCAGTCTTCAGTAAGGATCTCTCCAGCTCCGCCCAGCTCAGCTACGGCAGTGCGCCTCACCCAACTGGCTTCGCCACACGATCGTCAACCAACTCCCAGCTTTCCCAGGGAGGACTCCACCTTATTCTGGCTCCTCAGAGCGAGCTTAACCTGAATCTCCGTGCCTCGTCGTCCACACCCCCCTCTGGCCACACATCTTCCCCTTTCAGCCCGTCACCGCTGCCCCATCATCATCACCATTTGCAACATCATAAACAGGTTCAGGCCACATCACCTGAAAGTGGCACTGATGAGAATGTTGGCAACTCCTCTACTGTCCTGACCCCGAACAGTACAAGCAGTTCTGGAGGCCAAGGAATAGAGGATGAAGGCTTCCCTCTGTTAGCGAAGCTTCCACCGCCCCCTTCCAGACAAAGCGCTGGCTCTGGGAAATTTGCGCGAACAACCTCTACTGAGGCTTCTCCTGAAATAAGAAGCTTTTGCAGAGGTCTACAGAGCCACACTGAGGACAGCTGTATTAGGGAGGACCTTGGACTTCAGTTTGGGTTGGGCGCATTAGGGGATCAGTTACAAGGGAGTACCAATGGTAATGGCAGGCCCAATGCTAAGGAGGATGGCTCCTGGCGGAGACATATGAGTCTTGAGCTTGAGCCCCTCGTGCCACCTGCTCCAGCTTGCTGCTCTAGGACCATCCATATGGACCAAGGGATGGGCAAATCTATGTCAGTGCAGGACTTGGTGCAGGTAGGTCCTGTTAATGATGCACACCAAAGCCACAGCCTATCATCTCCAAGCCCAAGTACAAGCAGTGACTCTCCAGCAGGCTTCAGCAGCTGTCGCCATGACCCTGCGGAAGGGAGTGGGAGTGCAAGACGGGGAGGTCAAGGTTGTTGGGGTGAGGAGGACCTGTTTATCAGTGACAGGGACATGGAGCCACCGGGGTTTGACTTTTTGTCACAGGGGACATCTGAGACTCCAATGATCTCTCCGGAGCGCCTGAGGACAGCTGATAGAGGGGCAGGGACCCAAGGCTCTAACTTGGTTGATGGTTCCCAACCGCCGCACTCGGCTAGCAACGCCAAACCATTGAACATGCCACACGTACGGCTAAAATAGACCCAAAAAATGTTAAAAATCCGCAACAAACTCACCTCAGCGACCGTTTTTATTTTTTATGAAGGGAGGTGGGTGGGTTGGGATTTTCACATGGGCTCTTGTCCTCTTTTGTTTATTTTTACCTTGATCCGTTTTATAAGATTAACATTTTTTTTTTCATACAGGCAGATCTTTTTGGCATGAGTTACTCTGTGTTTTAGTGTATGCTTAATGAATCTGAGATAAAAGAGGAAGGCTAAAAAATGAGGAGATAATGTTTGTGTTCTACTAAGTAATGCCTGGGTCAGTGTTAGACCTTGCTATATAGCATGAACTGCATGTTTCCAGTCAAATGCACAGATATGAAATGAGATTTATTTTGAACATGATACAAATATAAATATTTGTGCACCTATTTGTGCACCTAACACTTAACTACATAACTGTGAGTAAGAAGCTTGTTTTGTTCCATGACAGCTGAAACAAAGAGTACCTCATTACTGGGAAATGTGGGCATTTTCTTTTCATAACATTAAATATATTTTAGAAAGCCAGACCTCTGCAAGTGGACCAGTTGAAGGATCTTATCCAACTTACTTTGTTTTCTTATATACATTTTTCTTGAATAATTTAGTCAATGACGGAAATGCACATTTTGCATGAATTTCAATCTCATATAGAAAGTGTTTATAGCACTGCTAAAATACCAGTCTTGGGTGATGTTAAAAATTGAGACCATGAAAAAGACAATAGTGTAATGAAAAAAACTGGTTCTGTGCTCATAAAAGAGAGATTTAAATTCCTAATTCTGACTCATCAACGACAAAGGTCAAGCAGTGTTTGCTGGGTTTCACTAAAAGGATGCCTTCCTGAATTAATGTTTCTAATGAAAGCCAGATTCAACTAATCAGGGATGCTGTGAAGGCATACAGTATTTCATTAGTACAGCGCCATCAGAAATTTGGAAATTAAATAAAAAAATAAAAGAGAAATACTGTTGCCATCAATAAAACCAGAGAATGGCTGGTCTTTGCTGAGAGATTAAATGGGTAAATTCTTACCTTTTTAATCATAAATATTATATAGAGAGAAATGCACAAATGAAATGTAATATTTAACTAGTGTCAATTTTGACAACATCATTTAATAAGCGTTAGCTTTTTCTTTTGACGATTGTAAATGATTTTAGTTCTTTCCCATTTTAGTAGAGGTTCAGTCTAGAGATTCCAGCTGTAGTTTTACTCCCATCAACAGTTTTTAATTAAGAATTTATCAGATTCTAATCAGCAGAAATATCGCCTTGCCCAAAAATGATGAATATTGCAATCCATAAAATAGATTTTTTTCCCCCCCACATATTACTCTTTCAGTGAAACCAGTGGTGTTACTAATGTTGTACGATGTCCATCTTGCAAAAGGTGCTCCAAAAACAAAAGTGTCTGCTAGAATGTTAAAAATAAAGAGAGTTTTCGATTTTCTGCATCACAATCAAACCATTGCACATATGGAGCTGTGGACAAGAGATGGTCTCACAGTATGATTAATTTGGAGACATTTTCAAAGTAAAGTGTACCGAGCATCATAAATATTGATTTAGCTGTAACATTAGCCCTCTAAAACATGTATTCAACTAAGAAAATAGGTGGATAAATTCTTGAATATGAATTTTCTCATGGTCCTTTGTTTTACATCAAAAAGAACCTGCAAAATATCAGATGTGCGATCTAAATTAGTACAACAAGTCTGGAGGCTTAAAGCTCGGAAAAGCAAAAGGATTACAAAAGCCTCGAAGTTCTTTCCCATATTAAGGAAATACTGAAATTCTGTTTATAGCAGCTTTGTAATCTTATCAACTCACCTAAAAAACTTTTTGGATTCATTCCCTTATTTTTCTTCATACATGACAATGGTGGAGAACTACTCCACTAATATCAGTAACAGACATAATCTGTTTACCTCCAGCTTTATTGTCAAAGCTTTATTGTTTCCATCATTAATGTATACTTCTTAGAGAGAATTTGGGCATAGACCAGACTAAGAACTATTTTTTATTCCAGACCAAAATAATTAAATAGCAGGTTTACATAATGACATGACATTAACAAAACTTTTTAATTTCATGACTGTGCCTACAGTGTTCAGCATGAATTGCTTAGCACAGAAAGACATTCACACATTGTACTTTATAGGAGACTTGAAATAATGCTTTGTCCCTTTTAACCACTGTGAACTGCAGCTCAATGAAGGTCATTTTGTTGATTTAAAGGCATACCCCAGACTTAGTGACCTAAAGAGTTGATGCATATGAGTTATTTTAAATGATTCCTCAGGCCAAAATACTGCACTTGACACTATCAGTGCTATGAGCGGGGTTCCCCTCTTGAAATATCGCCTATGTAAGTTGGGAAAAGATGCACCGTCATTGGCCAGGTCATGTGACCTCTAAGAACGTATTGCTTTATGGCAACAGGCTCTTATATAATCATGGGGCTAAGGCTTTTGCTCTACTATTTTGCCACCTGCTCGACTTCTGGTCATGGTTAAGGCAAGGAAACAATTTAAACCTCCTAAGGAGGCTAAAAAGAGAAAACAGGGATGGGATCGTGCACAAGGAAAAACAAGAGTTGCACATGGAAAGGAGTTTATTCAAGAAGAAGCTGGATGTAAAACTGATTCTCTTTTTCCTACTTTATTATTAGACTAATAAGTTAACACTTTGCTCCTAGTATATATAGTCATATACCTTTGTTATTATTTTCTATGTTTAGTAGAACCAAAATATAAGCAGTTTAAGGTCTAGTGCCCCTAGTGCTCAATGGTTACATGGTGCGCCTTTAAGTACATGTAATTTCCTGAAGGTCCTGTGAGAACACGCTGAAAGTACATATGGTCTTAGGCAACTTATGTGGCTGAATTTCATTAAAAAAAAACTTTACTTTCAGGTAAACCTTTACCATAATTTCAGCTGAGCTGCAAACTTAATGTTTGTTGAAGCTACAGTGATGTGGACAGGGAAAAAGATAAGCTGCTTTTTATGTCCAGAACAATTTTACACAGGCTGGTTCTGCCATGGACTAAAACAATTGTTGAATGTCATTTTCTGGTTTACTCTTTAATTCTGCATGTTGGAAAAATTGTTGTGATCATTTTTGTCTGAGACTTACCATTTGTTTTATGTTGCTCCTGTTTAGGACTGTTAACTGACTTTTTAAACTGGACTTTGCAATTAGAATGTGTATCTTATTAGTGTAAACTCAAGATTGCTTGAACTGCTGTGCAGTGACAATATAACTTACCATCATCTTTCTCTTCCTGTTGCATGGTGCAGAACTGGATGCAGTGACTAAACCTAACTTGTTTTCATATCCAAAGTCTGATTAATTCATAATATTCTCAAGTTTTTAGCACCGTAATCCCTTCTGTGGATTTATTAAAAAACATATAGTTTTTAAGTACCGTAGGTAAAACAGAAAATTTTGTTTGTGTATGAGAGCAGGAAGGTGCATATCCTTTCAACCAGTCGGACAGATGTAAATTTTTGCCTTAAGTGTAAAAGGAATGCATTATTATTGAAAGTTCTGGTCATATATATATATATATATATATATATATATATATATATATATATATATATATATATATATATATATATATATATATATATATATATATATATATATATATATATATATATATATATATATATATATATATATATATATTCCAACTGATTGGTGCACTGCTGATTTAGCCTATTCCTCAAAAGTTCAAAAAAGAAAAAATAGCTGCTTTCTTTTTTCATTTTACTTTCATGCAAATCAAACATGCGTCAAACCTGCTAATGGTTAGAGCAAAAGTTATTATTGAGATCATGTTGCCTCTAGTAGAAGAAGGTAGAACAAGTTATGAAAACTTAACATTTGCTAGTTCCAACAAAATGCCATAATGCAAGGAAAAAATGCTCTGTAATAGATTTTTGAGTTTGAGATGATGATGATGGTGATGGAAAAGACCCAATAACACTACCTATGAGGTTTTTAAAATGAATAATAAAATACAGCATTTATGAAAAAGTCATCCTCTCACTCCATGACATTTTCTTTTACATCCATCCCCTAGATATGTCTGGATGGCCAAAAGTTAGCTTTATACAAATAAGATCATTTCCTCTTCTACATTGAAATATTATTTGCATGAGGCCTCCTTATCCACACAGATCTTTACCAGAAAATGATTGCACACTTAACATCTCAGAGTATTTTCAGTTATAAATATTTGCATAAAAAGCCCGAACCTCTTGTTTTAGATCTACAGAATATTGGGGCCTTGATATTGTGGTACATCGAGGATAGTTTCCTAAAATGTGCATCTGATTCCATACATATTGCTGCACTCCTCATCTCTCTCCTTGCAACATAGTAGTTTTTTTTTTATAATCTTTGTAATGGGCATAAAATGGAAAATTGTTACATTAAGGTTTGTCTCATGTCCTTTAATTTATTTCAACTGTGTCCAAATATTTACACTTTAGTGATGGCATTGGTTTAAGACAGCCTGTAATGTTATAAAAATGCAAAATGACTTTTGTTCTCATTAATGAATAAAATTGATTCTTTGAGAAGCTTGTTTTGTTTTTTCTACCCCTGCATCATTACAGATACACAGCGGCGGCACTAAACATTTAACTCCGCAAACCCAGCAAATCATTTTTGAGGGAATGTTTTTCAGGCCTTAATGCTTTTCTCTCTTCTTTTAAAAATATCAATCAAGTTAACATATTGCTAAATATATTTAACACAATCTCCTGAAGAATAAGAAATAAAAAGCATAGAAAAAAAAAACTAAAAATAGTACAAGCTGTATAACTGCAATTCATTTTGAATATATGTCTTCCTGGTTATGATAAATCTGAGACAGACTGGCGATCTGTTCAGGGGGTACTGGAACTCAAACTCAATAAGTTATTTTGCCATAATAGCATTTAAAAGAAATATTTATCTAAATTTGAAGTCAGTAAAGATAAGAATACCTAAAAAAACATTTGATGTTTAACTGAGATCTCTCTAAATATTGTGTATATTAACATGAGGATTTAATTGTACATAACCACAAAAGCTAAATGAATCAGTAGCAAAGGGAAAAAATGAAAACAAGGTAAGGATAAAACAAAATTTAACTTGTGTATAATTCCGTTGTTATAAATCCGATGTTTTTCCCAATTGTTTCTTTTATTTTAACAAAAACCAGCAGAATCAAAAAAAATGTTTAACATTTTTTACTCTTATGAACATATTGTCACAAAGAACAGCATTTAAGGTGCACAAATGTTCCAGTAACATGTACCAGAGATACTATCAGGTAGCTTAAGACA